GTCCTGGAACCAATCCCCTACAGACACTGAGGGACAACTAAGTTTTCCAAGAGTCAAAAGTTATACGCAGATTTTTGACTGCATGGAGGTGGGGGTCCATAACCCCCACATTGCTCAAAGGTCAACTGTATTAAGTTCTGTATTAAGATATACCATCTACAAAGAAAATCAATATAAAGTTTTAGCTTATCCGCATAATAAGATGCTGAAAAAATACACTATATTAGCAGAAACAGTATAGCATATAAACATGAGACTGGATCTCCTACCGATTTCTAAGGAGTTTTATATAAGCAATATTTTAAATCAATAAGTTTGGTATACATTAACATTCTCCTTCGTTCTCTAAGATCACCTGTTGTCACCACCACACCCCCACCCCAGCTGGTCGCCATCTCCATCTCATTATCCTAATTTTGCTTAATATAATTTTTTTTTTATAATCTATACTTATTTTATTTACATGATTATCTGATTCCTTCATTAGAATTTTAAACTTCACTGCAGCAGGGACCTTCTTTCATCCTTATTTTGCACTGAAATCCCAGCATATAGAACAAAACTATTTGTTGATGAATAAAAGAAACCAAGTGCCTTAGGTATTACATTTCTCTTCTATACTAATAAAATAATAATGGGAGATAGCTCTTGTGTTTTTCATAATAATACAATGTCTTTATTGAAGATGATATTTGTCAAACATCAGAAGTGCATAAAATTCAGTGTTAGATATCTGTTAAAAGTGTCAAAAACTGATACTTTGCCTAAGAATATTTTCAGTAATTAAGTGCTAATTAGACATACTGCTTTGTAACTTCTACTTCACAAAGCCCCCAAATGTTAATAAAAGTCATGATTTGACATAAAGCATATTCTACATCTAATATGGAAAGGAAAAGTGACTGCATATTTGTACTATTTTTAAACATGAAATAAGGGATCAACAAATAAGTAATAACATATCTGATACTTATATGACTTACTTGGCTATAGCAGCTACATTAACATTAAGACTGAATATTTGTTCTTCTATATTAACAACCATGCTATGTTTGAAGGAAAACTAAAGACTATTCAAAATAATCATCATTTATTTGGTGAGAAAATTACATGTTTGACACTGAAATGTGAGATACATCCCTAGATTCTTTAAAATTCCATAGTCAACAAGAAAAAAATTGAAAGTTCATTTCCAAAATGTTCAAATGTTTTTAAAAGAGAGAAAAAGTTTCAAAAGTGGCTGCATCATAGCTTTCTGCAGTGTCAATTGTTGTCTCATCTTGTATCAAGTAAATTTCTGATTAAATATATTAAAATATTCACACATAACATACAGTACATATTTTAAAGACATATTATTTTGAAGTATGTGCTGAATATCATTTATATAAGTCAATGTTTCCCAGACTACCCTTTGAAGCACACGTTCCTGGAAAATGTCAAAATGTATGGCACATATAGAGCATATTAAGGGCTTTGGGAATTCCTACCAAGTGAGGGCCTTACATTTATTTGAGACTCATCTATTGTAATTTACAGACCATATTTAAGGAGGGGCAGTATAGAAAGGTTTTAAAAAATAATCCAATAGGTCAAATAAGATGAGTTCTATGATTAATAAATGATAAAATAGAAACATTTCCTTCAATTTATTTTAAAAACAAAAAAATATTCAAATCAATTTTAATAATTAACAATAGAAAAGTAACATCCTCAACATAAAGTCACCTATTTGAAAGCAACATAAATCGATTACTAACCATAATTGATGGTGGACTATTAGAACGATTTTGGTAAAATTCAGAAACAGGCCCTAGTATATTAAAATCTACATGTAAAATATATGAACAATTAAGAAAGCATCGCTGAACCTAGAGGATAGTATGCTAAGTGAAATAAGTCAGACTGAGAAAGATGAATACAATATGGTCTCACTAATATGTAGAATCTAATGAACAGAATAAACAAGCAAACAAAACAGAAATAGACTCATAGATGCAGAGAACAAACATGGTTGCTAGATGGGAGGGGGATTGGGGGATGGGGGCAAAAAGGTGAAGGGATTAGGAAGTAGAAATTGGTAGTCACAAAATGGTCATGAGGATCTCAAATACAGTATGGGGAATATAATCAATAATGTTGTAAAGATTATGTAGGGTATCAGATGGGCACGGGACTTATCAGGGGGATCACTTCATAGATTATATAAAAGGCTAACCACTGTGCGGTACACCTAAAATTAATATAAAACAATACTGAATGCCAACTATAATTAAATATATATTGATATAATCACAGGATGTAAAGTACAGCTTAGGGAATATAGTCAACAGTATTGGAATAGCTATGTGCTATGTCAGATGGGTAGTAAACTTGGTGGGGTTAGGACTTTGTGAGGGTGTAAATGTCTAATCATTATGCTGTTTTGTACACCTAAAACTAACAAACTAAAAGAAAGAATTGCAATAAATGAAGCAGAATACTACTCTAAAAACCTGAAACTAGAAAAAAATTGAAGTGTAAAATTGTTGACAGAATAACTTTTCTAAACTTAAAGATAGAAAAAATTGCAAAAGCAAAGATTACAATAAAACATAAAAACAAAACACTTTTATATGTCAAGATATAAAAATAAAAACTCAAATTGAGAAAATATATTTAAACAGTAAATACAGATGTATAAAGAGCTAACTTGTCTAAATAAGTAAAAATAAAACCAAGACAACAAAATTCACAAAGAAAGGAATACAAATGGAATGTAGACACTTGAAAAAATGTTCAGCCTCAGTAGTACTCAAAGAAATGCAAATTAAGATGACAAAACATAACTTTCTAATCTATTAAATTAATAAAACTCTTTAAAAAATGAGAATACTCAACCAAAGCACATTCATCAACTAATGTTAAAAGTTGTTGAATTAGAATAATACTTTTAGAAATCAATTTGCAACACGCATCAAAAGTCTTAAAAATATTTTTATTCCATATCCTAATAATTACAAACATTTTTCAATTATTTATGCATAAATGAAAATATCACATTAAATAGGTGGAAATAACTATTGTTCTATGACTTCATTACCGATAGTGCAAGTTAAACTTTATATGATATATCCAGTGGATGCAATAACATAGATATTAAGAATTACAAGTTAAGAATAACATGAAACAAAGTTCAGCAAGATAAAGCAATGCGCTAAACTGCATATTCGCTAGGATCATACAGCTATTATTAAAAGGCAGAAAATTGTAAAACTGAAAGAAAAATGTGCCAAAATATTAACGGTGATTCTCTGAATAGGAGGATTATGGGTGATGGCCTTTAGATTTACTACTTTTTAGGTGTTTTCTATAACACAAAAGTATTACATTTAAATTGGAAAACTAAATAAATTTATTTTTATAACTGGAGCTTTCCATCAGGAGAAATATAAATCAAAACAAAACCATTATTAAGATTACATTGTGTTTGAAGTTTCAATAAATTTATGCTTCCTATCAGGTTTTAATTTCTAGATTGATGGAACAGGGACTTGCTGAGAGGCTGTGTGATAGGCCCTTGGGAAAAACATACAACAAACAACACAGCCAATCTGCCATCAAGTAACTCCCCTAGATGACTCTTTAACCAATAATGTTCAAATACCAGAAAGTTTGGTAAACTAGGCAGTAACAGATACTTTTAAAATAACTTTCAGAAGCATATTTTAAAAATCAATGTTAAACCTTCCTGATCTCCATTTTTGTTTATACGTTTTAAGGTATTTCTGAGAACACTTCCTGAATTTCAAGTGTACTCTTATAAAAAGAAATTGTGCTTCGATGATTTTTCCCCCTGGAAGAAACATGTGCGATCCATTAAGGTACTCAGTTTGCTTTATTAAAGATAAAATATGTCTGTAAAAATGAAAGTAAGGAAGGCAAGAAGGCATCTCTGTCTACCCCTGGGGAGACCTTAGGTGAATTTGCAGCCCTGAACTGTAAACTATGGTAATTTAGCAGTGAAGTTGATGGATTTTAATTAAGGCCTTCTGTAATCCTTAGTGGCTTGGAAATGGAAGAGCCAGAATTTGCAGGGGGTGAAATATAACTACAATTTACTTAATTCTTTTGCTTCTAAGGTTGTGGTATTTTTTAGCTTTGGAAAATATACATATATCTCTTTTTAAAACTGTAATTTTGCTTTTTTTTTCTTTTTAATTATTTCCAAGAGCATTTTATTAAAGAAAATTTCAAAATACACCAAAGTGAGAAAATAGAATGGTAAACACACCCTTCCCTCCAAGCACCCACCACCCAACTTTAGCAATTTCTACTTGTAGCCAATCTTGTCTCACCTACACGCTCACCTACTTGCCAGTCACGCTAGATTATTTTGACTGAAATCCCAGGCATCATATCTTTTCATCTATAAAATTTCAGTATGAATCTCTAAAAGATACTTTAAAACATAATCAAAACACCATCATCATGTCTACAAGAAGAAAAAAAAAGGATTCACATTTTTCAGTCTGCTTTTTTCTACATTTTTTTGAATTGGAATATACTTCAGCTCTATTTATTGCAATCAGTTGGTATGTCTTCTAATCATGACGTTTTCCCACCATCATTTTTTTCCTCTCTTAGTATATTTTGTTGAAGAAACCAGGTTACTTGGCCTGTAGAGTTTCCCACAGTTTCCTACAGTTGTTTACTTATTGACATAAATTATTACAGATTGGTTGTTGAAAGTGTAGTCGATGAAATGCGAATACACTGGAACTACAGGAGTATACCAGAGAGCCCAAATCACCTATGACCAATGTTAGAATGAAAACACTACTAGTTAGTAAATAAAAGGGGAGAAAGCCCATAAGAAAAATGAATTGCTGTACAGATTAATTATACAAATAAGTAATCACATCTTCCTTTTTTTACTAAAGTATATTAAACTGCTATTAAAGTAACCAGCATAAATCTTAAATGGACATAGTATAAATGGCAAATTTGAGAGTACTCACCAGTCTTCATTTCTAATAAGCGTTTTTTCTTTTGTTGGCGTTCAAGTCTTTCTTTCTCTGCCAATTCTTTGGCTATTCTGGCACGTTTTTGTTTTTCCTCCGCTTCTCTTTTTATGACATTTTCCTTTACTGCTTGCTATAACAAATTGATTTTGAAAAATTATCAATTTTAACCACAGTGATTCCACAAAGAAAATATACAATTATTAATATGTAGAGCTGTGAGTATCTTTGAGGTAATAGTTGCTTCTTATATTAGTAACACAGAAAAGATTAGCACATGAACCCTTCCTTGTTAAATATATCTTGTGTCATATATCTATAAACACAACTGTTACGTTTAAAGCACCTGCATCTTAGTGGAATCAACAGAAAGAAGGGAGACAGAAACGAAAAATAAAAAAAACATTTAATATACAAATCAAAACTGATTTTCTATATATAGCTCCAGAAGAATATCTAGCGAATGTATTAGAGTCTCCCATACGTCCTCTGCTAAGTTAACTATTGAGTAGAAGTAAAAGAGTTGAACAAATAATAAAAAGGACCTGAAATTTTGGAATGGCTCCTTTATACTACAATCGTTTAACAGTTTTTCTCATATAGAGAGATGTGTCATAATATTACTAAAGAAATAGTTTGCATTTCAAAGGCAGGCCCTCTGCTCATCAAAACAAATAACCACATGTAAATCATAAGAAGATTTCAACAGATATGTGATCAGTTAAGTTCCAATTTTTTAAGTTTTATACAAATCAAGAAATGCTTCTTATGTGGCCTTAGTGTAGGATTAGCAGGTAAACATGGATTTTGTAAGTGCCAACAAACAGCATACAAATCGGTTACCTAATTGCTAGTTTATCATTAAATAGAAAAGCGTATAACTAAACTTTAACAAGTAGGTGGCTTATGTTATTATTTGGAAGGCACTCATTCCTTCTTTACTGTAATATTTTTCTAACCCTAGTAACAGTTACAAGTTTTTCATTAGAAATCAAATAACAAAGTTTAGTATTATTAACCAAAACGATGAGAGGAAAAATGTAACAGAAAAAAGGAGTAACAAAAAGCACAGAGTAGAGAGAATATTCATCCATCCATCCATCCATCCATCCAATAAATACTTACTGAGAGACTGAGTGCTAAATGGTACTATTTAATGACTTTCATATATATATATAGCTCTAAAATAAGTTTACATTCTGTGTGATAGGGTGGGGCCGGAGGCAAAGACAGAGGATAAACAATAAAAAGTTTGATAAATATAGTACCATGGAAAAACAAAACACAGAGGAATGTGACAGAATGCACGGGGAGCTACTTTATACATGAGGGGGTCATCAGTAAGGCCTCACTCACTGATTTGATTCAAGCTGAGTCTCGAATGTCAAGGTGCTAGCTAGGTGACGATCTGGGGGAAGGACAAACGCCAAGGCCACCGGTGGGTGTTAGAGGTAGAATGGCGGCCAGCATGGTGGCATACACTGAGGCCAGGAGATTTGCCAAGGCCTGATCATTTAGGATTTAGGGTCTTCTACGCTAAGATAGGGCAGTTGGGTTTTCTTTTAAGGGACCTGGAAAACAATTGGAGATTTTCAAACAAGAGAGTACAAGACTAAGAGCTGTAAGATACAAGTACCAATCAAGCACCTATGTGTCAAACTACCTTTTCAAAGACATTTGTAGAATGAACAGCCTTGGAAGATAGAGGTAGTTTCTCCCTTTTAAAGGCAAATGGATTTGTTTGCTGCTGTCCAGTACGATAACCTGGGGATAAGGCTGGGGAGTCTTATTATCTCTTTAAAAAGATTGGGTTCCCTAAGTTCAAGATTTTTCTCCAGTAACACAAACCACTAAGTAGGTGGGTATTACACCTGGTCTGGTTAACATTGCCCGTGGGCATTTGGGCTTAGGGATCTATGAAATGGTTTCCTCTGGCTACTGCTTATTGCTGTAATAAACTGACTCCACAGTACTGTGTTTTCTGCCACCATCCATGGAATGGTGGCAGGCAAACAAGGTACATGCGCATGTTCTCCACAGTTCATGACACATATTAACATGCTATTATTGCTGAGCTATGGAATACCAGCAGATGCTTTAGTGTGCAAACCCTCCAATCTGCACAATGGATCGTGCATCCTCCATTCTGGCCCAGGATGGCTAAGGACCAGTTCACTATAATGAAAGTTGTGAGAGGCAGAGGGAAGGTTTGCAGGCTAGCTGTAATCCAAGTTCTCTCCATCATGTTGCTTCATATCACGGTAGTCTATGTTTAAATGTCAGTCACAAGACAAAAGCAGCTACAAAAATCAACATACACTATGAAGGTAAAAGGGGGCAGCATAAAAGAAAAGCATAGTTTCAAAGACAAGTGGTGTATCTGTGTGTGTGTGCGCATCCAAGTATTATGTGTAAGGGAGATGGTGTAGGGAGAGTGGATTGTGGAGGAAAAAAAGATAAGCAAAAATTCAGAAATCAGAACTGTATTTCTTGCTTGAGGGAAGTGCATAAGAAGAGCCTGTGATAGATTAAAAATATATCATGTCATTTACTTATGAAAGTTCTTATAGTACAAAATTTTCTGATGTGAATTTTTCACTTTAATGACTGGATGCATTTAATGAGAATATGTAATAGACTACCTACTACCAGATATAATTGCCACACCTTTTTAGTATTCTATTGGGCAATAAACAGTCAAAATTACTTCCCAGGACCTATAAAAATAATGTTTATACTTCAAAATAAGGTCTGAAATAGTTCTTAAAGCTATGTTGTTTTTATGGAAAATGCACTATTGATTTTCATTTAAAAGCCGATCTCATTTAAAACATATCTTATTCTGACATTATAACTATTAGGAGAACAATTTTAACTAGAAAAATACCAACAGACTGCATAGAAATAGATATTTAGTCTAAAACTAATATTCCGGTTCAAACAGTAATCTAGAATTTTATTTTATTCTAAATGTTGAGAAGTAAAAGTAGCCTAAAACAGAAAAGCTGACTAGTGAGAGAACCATATTATTCCAGATACAATTTCCTCTTGCTACTTTAATTTTAAATCCAAAGCCAGGAAAGAAAGTTAAGGCTGAGCCATACATAAAGATACTTAGCTATAAGACATTTATTTTTTTAATCATCTTATTCTTGACCTAGTTTCCTATTGGGTGTCAGAAAAGTCATGACGCATTTTTGCAACAAAAAACATAGAAAAAATACGTCATGACTTTCCGAAAACCCAATATTTATTCAATTGGCAAACAAATTGCACTGTCAACAACTACTTTCAGGTATGCAATGCCAGAAGAAATTCTTTCAGTGTTTGAACAACTTTCCAGACACAGCCAGTCTACAGCAAGGACCACAGAGGGTTTTAAAACTTCAGTCACATTTTTTACTATTCCCTTGAAATGCATAATCAATAATTATCTGAGTTCCTAAGGCTCACGTACTTTTTATGGTGACAGCAGATTGCAGAATATCTATATAAAAATACACAGCCATATTAATAAATATATCCATACAAAAATATAGATATGTTAATGAATATGTGTGTGTGTGTGTGTGTGTGTGTGTGTGTGTGTGTGTTCTGGAAGAAAATAAAAATATGTGAGCTCACAATTATTTCCTACCTATAATTTGTTTTTTATGTAACTAATGTAATAACAGGAATTTGCCACTAGTTAAAATAT